ATATATATATATATATATATATATATATATATATATATATATATATATATATATATATATATATATATATATATATATATATATTGGTGGTATATATAAACATACGCACATCCATGTATGGGTGCATATATATATGACCACCGACGCCCCTCTTGCTCACCACTGGGGGGAGCCTGTGTGTCAGGGGGAAGAGGGTGTGTGCGGGTGACTCTCTCTTATTTATTAGGTAGTGCCGTAGAGATGATGGAATTTTTTTTTTCCCCCCTCGCGAGGGATATATGTGCGTGTCTATAAATCACTATATATACATATGTATCTCGTAATTAATGGATATAGTTAAATGTTGTCAGAAGTATTTAATAATAATTCTTGCAAAACAGGGATGAAAAGCAGCAGCTTCTGTTGGGTATAAGACGGGCAAATAGACAACCGACGAATTTATCATCTTCTGTTTTGTCGAGCGATAGCATGCATATTGGAGTTCTAGCTGCAGCTGCCCATGCGGCTGCAAATAATAGCCCATTTACCGTGTTTTACAATCCTAGGTTATTGTCTCATCTTTAATCTATTATCTCTTAAATAAACCTGTTATCTGTTCGCTTCCACTTTGCTTCTGTGTTCTCTTATATAAGTTTCGATTTTTTTTGCGCAGGGCTAGTCCATCGGAATTTGTCATCCCTTTGGCCAAGTATTATAAAGCAGTTTGCAGTAACCAAATATCTCTCGGCATGCGTTTCCGCATGATGTTTGAAACCGAAGAATCAGGGACAAGAAGGTAAAGTTTTCAGACACAGTCTATACTATATATTTGTTTTTGAGATACCTACCTTGATGTTCTTGCACTAAAGTACCATGCATTGCAGATATATGGGTACAATAACTGGAATCAGTGACCTAGACTCAGTCAGATGGAAGAACTCTCAGTGGCGCAACTTACAGGTAACTTCAAGAAACACGCTCGTTTTTTTTTTTTTTTAAATGAAAAATACCCTCCATTATATTATAGGAGAAAATATATAAATTGGATCCTCATTTCACATCATGTAAACAGGTTGGCTGGGATGAGTCAACTGCAGGCGAAAGGCGTAACCGTGTCTCGATTTGGGAGATAGAACCTGTAACCGCTCCGTTTTTCATCTGCCCCACCCCTCCTTTCTTCCGTTCTAAACGCCCAAGGCAACCTGGAATGCCAGGTATATATAATAATAAATATACATAGGACCATAGATTATACTACAACATAAGATAAGACTAGTGCATGGTAATAAGATAGGTGTTTCCTCTTTTTGCAGATGATGAGTCTTCTGATTTGGACAACTTATTCAGGAGAACAACGCCGTGGATTGGAGATGATTTCGGTGTAAAAGATCCGCAAGCAGCTTTGCCAGGCCTCAGCTTAGTACAGTGGATGAACATGCAGCAAAACCCTTCTCTAGCTAACTCAATGCAACAGCAGCAACAACCGAGCTATATGAATATGAGTTCATCATTGCCCGGTTCTGTTCTTCAAAACTTTGGCGGTGCGGGTCAAATGGGATTATTGCCCGCAACCCAAATTCCTCAACAGTTCAACGCCCAGAGACCGACCCTACCCGGACAAAATCTTGACCCGTTAAGCTCGATTGTACAGCCGCAGCCACAGCCACAGCCACATCAGCAGCTGACAGATGGTACTCAGCCAAGACAGAATTCGATCAGTCAAATGTTACCTACAACAAGCCAAGTTCAGTCCCAGATGATGTTGCCTTCACAGAATCATGTTCAAACTCAGACCGGAGTGCCACATCAGCAACAATCCCTTCTTAACCATCAATTCCAAAGAAATCTCTCACAAAGTCTGCCACATCAGCAGCAGATTATGAGCAACTCCCAACAGCAAAATCCAATGCATTCCCAGCCGTTGGACCACGTTAACCAACAGTTACTGCACGCATCGGATAATAACCAAATGCAGATTCAATTTCTTCAGAAGCTTCATCAACAACAACAACAACAACAGCAACAACAACAGCAATCACTCTTAGCACAGCCTTCACAAGTGATGCAATTCCAAGATCACCACCAAAAGCAGCAGCTTTTAGACGTGGGACCGAATAATTTCTCCAGTAGGTCTGTATCAACAACAAGCCAAACATTGGATTCATCTCAAGCAGCAACATCGTCAAGTATGGTCCCACAATCCCGTGTTATTAGCCTTCAGCAGATGGTGATGAGTCAGAGCAACAATAGCCAACAAACCAATCTTCGGTTCGCCCCGCCACCTCAGCAGCAGCAGCAGCAGCCGAAATTTCAGTCAGAATTGCCTGGACATTTTACAGCTGGTGGTGGGGTCCACTCTGCCGTCACCGATGATGTTCCGTCTTGTTCGACCTCACCATCCACAAACAACTGTTCGAACGCTGTCCAGACAGTGATGATGAACAGCAGAAATCACCGTAGTGAGATTACTCATCGCTCTTCTGCCCCTTTGTTAGTAAATCCAAGTGGCTTAGAAACTATTATGCCTTGTAGTGGTAATAACATAGTTAAAGAGTTATTACAGCAAAAAGCTGATGTTAAGCCCTCGTTGAACATATCCAAGAACCAGAACCAAGGGTTTTTTCCATCACCAACGTACATGAACAATAATACAACCGGGCCCCACATGGATTATCTGGACAGCTCATCTTCTGCGACATCGGTTCTTTCTCAGAACGATGTCCAAATACCTCCAAGCAACAACAATAATTCAATGTCTTTCAATTCTCAGTCGATTTTGTTCAGAGATGCAAGCAATGATGGGGAAGTACAATGTGGCGATGCGAGGAGCAACATGCCCTTCGGAGCCAACATCATGGACAGCAACAATCAGTTGGGGATTCCAATGATCCCCGAAACATTGATCACGAAAAACATGGTGGGGCCCGCTGGAGGGCCCGGTTTGCTTTCCAGCTACGAAAGCCCCAAGGAAGCTCAACCGGAGCTCTCGTCTTCAATGGTTTCGCAGTCGTTTGGAGTTCCGGATATGGCCTTCAATTCCATCGATACTTCCACGATGAATGACGGCAGCTTCATGAATAGGGGTGCATGGGTCCCACCGCAGATACCTAGATTGCGAACGTACACAAAGGTTGTTTTTTTTTTCTTTCTAATGTATGTAAGTTCTAGTCATCTATAACTTATACTAAAGGTAATCATAGGCTAACTTGGTGAGTGGATTAATTCTTGAAGGTCTACAAAAGGGGAGCTGTTGGAAGGTCGATCGACATTGCTCGTTACTCAGGTTATGATGAACTTAAACAAGACTTGGCTCGGAGATTCGGTATAGAGGGACAGCTCGAGGACAGACAGAGAATAGGATGGAAGCTCGTCTATGTGGATCATGAGAATGACGTCTTGCTAGTTGGCGATGATCCGTGGGAGTATGTGTTTTCACACCTTCACTATGTGTCTTTTTTTTAATTGTCTTCCAGAAATTAGAGCCATTCTAATTCAACACTAACAATTTCCACATGTTTTACAGGGAATTCGTGAACTGTGTGCGTTGCATAAAGATTCTATCTCCACAAGAGGTCCAGCAAATGAGCTTGGATGGAGATTTTGGAAACAACGTGCTTCAGAACCAGGATTGCAGTAGCTCCGATAATGGTGTGAATTAGTTGAAAAAAACTCACCGAAAGCTTACATTGCCAGTTACCACTCACTAAAAACGTGGCATCCCTCGACTCTTAATGGCTTACGTTGGCATTATGACCTCAATGCCCAAGAACAAGTCGAAAGTGCTGGTGGTTTTTTCTCAGGCATAGGAGCTGTGTATTATTAGGAAAAGGGAAGAAGGCGATACCGCAATAGAGTCTAGAAATAGATCAGATCTTACGGGATGGGATGTATTTGCTTGTTGAGATGATCTTTCGGATCATTCCTAACTGGCATTGTTTTCCCTACATTTCTCCATCGTTATAAAGCTTGTAGTCTGTATTATTGATATATAGGTTCCAAATTGTATATGCATTTAGATGTTACGGTTCATCTTTTAATATAAATTTTTAGTATTTAATTTAATTTTTTTATATGGATTGAGTAATTTAGTGAACATTGGAAGAAGAGCAGTAATTTTGTAATTAAACCACTAAAAAAAAAGTCAAACTCGAAAGTCAAAGTTCGATTCAACTAGGGAAAATAAGGAGAATGATAACACAGTGAAGGCCAATACAGGGAGAAGCAAAGAGTAAGACTAATAAATCCAGTAGTGAAAATATGACACTCCCTTTTGATTTAAGTGACCATTGGTTCAGGAGCGGCAGCTGACAAAATATCGAGCAGCGAATCATGTGCTTCCATCTCTTCATGCCATAAAGGTAGGGTATCTCCCGGGTAAAATTTCCTACTCGCACCATCTTTGTTGATCTGCAACAATCATTTTCTAAAATCGTCACATTTCTGCAAATACAATGAAATAGGGACTCTACTAAAGTACGAGCACCCTAATATATAAATAATCGAGCTTAAAATTTTAATTCTCCAGCTTAAGAAGGAAGCTTATTCATCACAAGAAAGGAACTCACAGTCACAGTTCGAACAACACCGCCACTGGCACCATCTCGAGCAATGGCAAGAGAGACTGCTTTCACAACTAATTTCTGCAGAATAAGGTCCAAATAAAATTCAAAATTAAGCAATATTTTCGATACAGATAGAGCTATACAAACCAGTATGCAAATCACTTGTGAATTTCCATTATCACTTTTTTAACATATATTGGTGATTTGAGACACAATACACACCTCAGCTTCTTCTTGGGTCATCCCTTCCTTCCATACTTGGTCGAAGAAACCATATAAATATGACGAGCCAGACCCTGAGATACAAGAAATAAATGTCATCCAATGTCCAAATCCGTCAGACTTGCCACATAATTGGCAGCCGCAAACAATGATTCAATAATTGATAATTCGGCAGTTGAAAGGGAAAAGTTGCATCTTATAAACGTTGAACCGTAGAACGAGGAATGCTGATTAAAAGGGATCTTGAAGAAAGTCTAGATAGGAACACAACAAACTCTTGGTTCAAGAATAATTAATCCAGATATTACATAAATAGGTTTCACACCTTCATTAATCATAAAAACTCCTTCGTAAATGGATTAGCTCCTTAGTAAAAAAACAATTCAACGACCTACTCAGCTTTGGTATAAGGTTCAGAGTGATAACTACTCTAGTTTCTTACTATCCTAATTTTCTAATCATACTGTGTATAATACTAGCAAATGATTAGCATTTATGTTACAACATTGCAGAATCAGATTCTTCACGGACTTAACCTAGCTTAAATTAGACTGTTACCAATTCAACAAGGAAAGCAAACATCCAGGAATCCCTGAGATATCTGAAAAGTCATATTAGGTACATAAAAGTAACAAACGAGAAAAGCATACCTCCAATAGTGAAAGGCAGCTCCAAGACAGTTCCTCCAAGAGGTATGCCATAAATTTTACCTCCCTCATACTGATCCCATCCACCAACAATCATGCCAGTTTGCAACATGTTCTGCCAAATAAATATATTAACATGACTATAAAGCAAAACATAAAATATAAAGCTATCTCTCAAAAACTGTTACAACACTATTCCACTTTCATCTTCCTTCTGCTCTTGTAGTACTATATTACCTGACGTATTTCACATTTATATGATTAAGAACAGCTCCTTAGTATCACTTTCATCAAATATAATATCAATTACTTCCTTCTGCTCTAATAGTACTAGATTAACCAACATATTTCAGATATATTTCTATTCCAATTGGAAGAATGTTACTGAATTTTGAATGGACTAAAACCGAAGGAATAATGGGTTCGTTAAGAAACTTTAACTGATCTTTCTTAGTGTTCTTCTGATACTTCAGTAACCAACATAATTCAAATTCATTTATATTCTCATACTAAGATTTTATCTAATTCTCAGTGATCTAACCAAATGTTTATTTTGGCATGGCATATTTGCATGTGAACAAATAATTGAGCAAGACAAACTGAACGAAATCTGAAGTATTAGTTTTTATAATATGCTTATCAAAAGTAAGCATAATTCTTCAAGAAACATTTTATTGGATATTGTCTTTAAAGTGACAAATAAGAGACGTGCACGTATATTTTCAAAAACTTTTCTAAAGAGTATGATGAAAGGTTTACATTTATATTCTTACCAATAAAATACGTAATAATTGATAAATAAAAACTTATGTAAACTATAGATCGCAACAACTTCTGGCTTCCGCGACATGTGTCTTTAAGACCAATAATTTTGTGACTTGAAGATAAGAGAATAGTAACAAACCTTGTTGTTGTAAGCTACTAATCTAACAAGATTTGCAGCAACTTTTACAGTCGAAGGCTGCCCAAGCTGAATCCTGAATCACCGAGCAAATTAGAAGAGTTACATTCTATTAGCATTTAGCACTTTTGAGAATCCCTAACTCAACGAGAGGTGCAATCCATTTATTGAACCCAATCTACCAATAAATCAGCTTCTGGTATATTACTAGAAGGGACATAATATATTAGCCATAAAATTAGCACATCTATTTCAATCAGATAATTTAAAAACTATAGTAACTTCTCTTAAATTTGCATCTTTTTATATCTTTACACTCTAAATAAACAAAATTAGGTGTTGGGGATCAAACAGCATATATCAGATCTGAGTATATAAAGAGCAGCAGAGTCAAACTGGGATCTATTAGCTCCATACAGCTCTAAAGTGCTTGATTTTAGTCAGTTCTAGAGTAATATACATTGCAATGTTCTGGAAATAATAAAGCAATAAATTCCTTTTCTAGCACAAGAATGAAGAATTATACACTCAACTTTAGCCTTATAAGCAGACATTAAGTAACAAAAGTGCTCAACAAAATAATGAAGTCATGTTGTATCAAAGAAACAATCTAACGAATTGCTCATATACATTCTCCAATGCCCTTGATACATAAACTGCTCACCAACCTTTTCTTCTTATCTTAATTCTTAACTCAGCCTGGAATAAGTATAAATCTCACCCAGCATTTTCATTAGGTGGTCTTTCCAGGATTTAATTAAGTGGTTTTTCCTCTATATACCAAAAGACACAAGAAAACATGTAGGATTTGTACAGATTTATCACATTGCACAACAGCATATAGACAATAAAGCAAGTTAATGGAGACTTACGTGTGTTGATGGAGATAGTAGCGAACATAATCTGAAACAATCTGGGAATCTGCTGCCTGGTCCAAAAAACAAGCCAGGACTTGTAATTCAACTTATCATGCATGAAATTTATCATACTATGTAGTGTGTACTATAAACCCAAACCAGGAAATTTGATGTGGGGAATTGGGACGGTTATTCACCAACAACACACAAATTGATAAAAGAAAATGTCCAACCCATTAAAAAGGCACTAAAAATGCTTCGATGCCAATAATAGAAAACAAGTTCAGCGCCAAAGGGACAAATCCAAGGGAAGTAGGAGCGAGAGCATGCAGAATAGAAGCTATGGCAGGACCAAGGGACAGTCGATTACAACATTAAGCTATGCACAAAAGCTGCAAATAAAGCAACTCTGATTAAAGTATGACCCCGTCCCTGGAAAATTTTCTGAATGAAACTAAGTGAGTAGGTGTTACTTCTAGCAAGCAAAAATCTTACCTAAAGTTCCCTTCCCCGTGTACTCTTAAGCACATGAACATTTTACATCAAACTTGAGAGAAAAACATAAAGATTAAATCAATCATAATTAAACACGGACCACCATCAACGATATTTCAAAATTTTCTAACTAAAAATATCTGTCCAGCTTTTTTCCCTCAATATTATTTTCTAATTCAAAAAGTAGACACTCAATTCAGTAAATCAACAAGAGAAATATATCAAATTCTAAACAGTCTGCAAAATAAGAAACTAAAACCCTAACAAGGGGAAAAGCATCCCAATGAACATGAGGGGCGAAACCCTATCACCGCCAGAAACGAAACATTGAAAGGAAAAAAAGTTCTTACCGAGCCAGAGCGGCAGATGTACACATTATCAGTCAACTGAGTGATCTTATCAGAAGCCCTATTCGCCACATACATTCCTACAATATATACTTGCTTCAAAATCTCGATACAGAAAGGAAAAACGGAAGTTTAACGGAAATAAATTAGCTAAATAATTTCCGGCCAAAACTAAAAATACCGGTGCTGGTGCGAGAATCGGCCCCCAGAACAACGCCGCCGTTGTAGGTGACGCCGATGATGGTGGTCCCCATTGAGTGCGGAGCGTTAAGATCGCTAGAAATCGAGTCCATGATGCTTAGCGTAGAGATTGATCGATTGAGCTTGAACAAAAATGCAGAGAATTCAATCCCCAATAAACTAGGGCCAAAAAACGAACCAGAAAATAATAAAAAGGAAGTTTCGTGCAGCTAAAGCTTAAAAGAAGCACTGGTTATGTATGCAAGAGTTGGGGAAACAAATTGGCCCCTGAATTTTGAATAATTGTTTATTGGACCCCATTAAAAGTTCAACACTGAAAAATGGTCCTTTCAAGTTTCGAGTAACCCTTTTATCTTTTTTTTTTCTTTTTTTTTTTTTTTTTTTTATGTACGTCTAAAAATATTGTGAAAATTGTATTTTGGAAGACAAATTATATTTGAAAAAATATGAATTATATTCGAATCGAGTTAAAATTTACTTATTAAATCCGGTCAAAAAAATTAATTTACTAATTAGTTTGAAAAATTAAGTAATTTTTTTAAAGTTTTTAATGTAGTAGTCAAATTATATTTGAAAAATATATAAACTTTCGAACACTTAAGAAAAGTCGCCCACTCAAATAGGATTTGTTCGACCCTATGTTACGTGGTAATTTGAGCAAGAAAACATAGTTTGAGAATTAAGAAGAAATCGAGAGATATGAATTAAGATAATTAGAATTAGGAGAAGAATTAGAGAAGATAGAATAAGAATCGAGGAGATAAAAGACAAGAGAATATTGATTTCAATAATTTGCATATCCCGTTACTTTGCCAATTACCACATGTATTTATAATACTCACAAATAACTACCACACCACTAACTCATTAATTAACCAAATTACCCCACTAATTAGCCCACTAACTAAAATGCTTGCATGATAATTTACGCACACATAGAAAATAATTATATTTGACTAATTCTATTAAATTAAATAATAAAACATATCACCCTACACCCGATGATAAACACCGGGTGGGTCTTCTGCTGCCACTGTGTATCTTTTTTGTATTTTATAATATATTTCCGCTAGGGTTTACCTTTAGGGGTTTTAGAAAAAAAAAAAAAAAAAAGATTAATTACAACCATCCCTCAACTGTAAATTTTTTTACATGTCCATCTTTACTGTTTCAAATTTAGTGGAATCTTCTAAATTATATGCAATATTATCATTTTTGTACCCATTTTATCCCATTCGAGTTCCACATTTTGGAAATGAGATGTGTTTTTTAACTTGTATATATCAGATTTTAGTGCATCAGAAACTATATTTTTACACAAAACGAGTACAAACTAGACCACATTCTACGAAATCTAGATAATTATGTTGAATTTGACACCATAAGGGTGGAAGCGTAAGAAGATTCGTAGTTGGGGAGTAGATGTAATTATCCAAATAAAATGTGTTTTGTCGTAATTTGACCATATCTCAGGGGTTTGTAATTTACCCTATTTCTTATTAGGGGCTCTTTGAGAAAACCCCCTCACTACTTTTTTTAATTGAGGGAGGCCCAAAATATTTTAGACCATTTGAGAAAAGTCCATGACCCAATTCAGCCATTGTGTTTCCCAGCTTTACCCCCGCCCGCCACCTCATCACAGCTGGGCACGCGCTCCAGCAATTTTTTTTTTTTTTCCGTTTTTTTAATCGACTATGAAGCATAGTCGAATAGTCTTAATTCGACTATGCTTCATAGTCGATTAAGGAAAATCTTTAATTTTTTTATTTTTTTTTTGTTTCTAATTTTTTTTTAATTTTTTTTGGTTTTTTTAATTTTTTTCTCTATCAAGTTTATTAATGCATAGTCGATTAAAATTTTAGCTATTAAAAATAACAAATTATAATTACCAAAAAAATGCAAAATCAACTATATTTAAAAAAAATATACAAACATTGTAATTGATTTATACATTGGAATCAATAAAACAAAAAATCAAAAAAAAGAAAAAATAATAAATTAACAACTGGAGTCGGTCAACCTTAATCGACTACTAAACATAGTCGATTAAGCCTTAATCGACTATTGAACATAGTCGATTAAACACACGTAGTCGATTAAGGCCCTGCCTGCGCGAATTTCTTTTTCTACGTGAATTCAACAAACCCATCGGAATCTTCCACCCAAAACCGCCGCCGCCAGCAGACCCATCGGCATCGCAATCCTCCACCCAAAACCGCCGCCACCACCAGACCCATCGCAATCCTCCACTCAAAACCGCCGCCACAAACATCATTACCATCACTCATGAACAGAGAAATTTGAACCGGCACCGCCCTCGCCGCCACCATGTACCAGGCCACCGGATCCGCCGGCGGGGGAGCGGCAGCGGCGGTGGTGAAAGGCTAGTCTGGAAGATCCAGATCTGCTGCGAGCTTGACTTCCTTTCTTCGCATCTTTGTGGGCATCGAGACGGGGGAGAGGCAGGACGGTGGTGAAAGGCGGTGGACGGCGGGGGAGCGGCAGCGGCGGTGGTGAAAGGCTAGTCTGGAAGATCCAGATCTGCTGCGAGCTTGACTTCCTTTCTTCGCATCTTTGTGGGCATCGAGATAGAGGAGAGGCAGGGCGGTGGTGAAAGGCGGTGGACGGCGGGGGAGCGGCAGCGGCGGTGGTGAAAGGCAAGTGAATTTGAGAAAGAGAAATTAGGGTTTCAAAATAGTATATTGACAATTAAGGGTAGATTTGGAATTATAAAAATAATATTTGGTGGAATACTAACCAAGGGGGTTTTCTCAAATTATTTTTGGGAGGGGGGGGTTTCTTAACTACATTTACTAGATGAGGGGGGTCTTGCTAATAATCCCTTCTTATTAATTCCGGACAAAAATTACTCGAGCTAGTATACTCATCCAATAAATATTTGTGTGTAATTTCGTAAGCTATTTCACGAAAATGAAATTTAGCCACTGCATTTCGAGCGGCTGCACAAAATGAATTCATCATTTTTAACAATCGAACAAATAGTTCGTCTATATCATCGTTATCAAAAGTTAAGATGATGGAAAAAAATCCAGCAAAACCGAAACGGGATTCATATAATATCACGATTTCCCTCGTCACAATCACTTGTGTTGTACAATATAGATTTGAGGACTAGTACATATTTCTTTAAGTGGGCTAATTAATAGCAAAGAACTATCACCTATCTAATCTCTGGAACAACAATGGCAAACAACAAGATTTACTTGAAGAAGCAGCTAACACTTTAGAGATACAACGAATTCGCAAACATTATTCCGCGACGAAGGCTTTCAGTAGCTGCTCCAAACTTTTCCTCTAAATCAGCTTCTCCAACTGCATGAGCAGCAGCTTTCAACTGGAAAAAAATATCAGTAGACGCATCATGAATATCGTGTCGGAAAATATATATACAGAATCTTCTACTGCTATAACAAATTGGCGTAGTTCACATATATTACAACGATGCAATTTCTCTGTCGTTGTATATAATGCTTTTATAACTTCTGAATAGTAGTAAAAGGATTACCTGGTTTAAAAATTCATCGAGCCTTCTAGCTAGCCGAATGATGCTACCTTCAAAAATATCGGTCATCTGGATAACATCGGCAAAAGACGCTCCCTGTAGCACAAATTAAGGGGATGAATGAAATAACCAATACGATCAACAGCTATAATGTAAATAAATTTTGAGCCATGAACTTACCTTTGACCAACAGTAAATCACATCCATCAAGTACGGTCTAATTGATGCTTCAACATATTCATCCACATTTATTTCGAGCTTACACTCGCGTTGTATCTGCAACAATAATAATATTTTCCAGTTGTCATTTTACCATATGCTTGAAAATATATATGTTCGCCTTTTGGGCAAAAAATGAATCGGGAAAAACGGATATCAGATACCTCTGCTATTTTTCTCGCACTTTCTTGAAGCTGTTGCAATGGTTTGGCAAGTTCGGCTCTCAAATGTATCTGCTCACCCGATCTGTCTCCAGGGATAAAGCAACTTGCCAGAGCTGCGACTTGATGGTGATCGAGATCATTGAAGGTACCTGTTTACATAATTTGCAGAATTCCGTAATGAAAATGTCTAATTAAAGCGCAGAAAAGAAGAATTGCTCCCTGTCCTTGAAAAATATGAGTAGACATGAATTTTTACATCACACAAATGTAGGGCTCACCATTGAACATCAATTCTGTGACGAGAAGCTCATCTCCAGTATCTATTAGGCAGGCAGCCCGCCCCTTTAACTGAACAACACCATCCCCATCAATATGGCCGAGTCTCTTGAGAACCCGTGACCGATTCTTAAGTTCATCACGAAATTTTTGAAGCTGAAAATAATTCAGGAGGCATGTACCCAATTAGAAACACATAAATCTTATTCTTAAATCCAATATGAAACCGAAGTAATAGAGGAGATAGCAATTTATATAACACTACAGACCAGGAGAAGATGTTAATAAAAAAGAAGTGTAGGCCGATACGAAAAATATGCTTTCAATATAAATTGAAAAAGGAGAGCTTTAGAGAATCAGGCTACGGCAATCCATAAGTCAAAATAAACATAAAAGTAAGTGCACTTATCATACTTTTAGATCAAAGAGCTAGTGCATGCAAGTGTAAGGCATGAGCCATGTGGTGACACCACGAGAGGAATACCTGAGAATCACGCATCTTTGACTTTAGTTGTTGAATTTCATGGTTGACTTCAGCTTTTCTCTGGAAACTTTTAATCTGATTATCATCCTGAGACTGCAAAACGTTGATGTGAGTTACAAAAGTATCAGATAAGTATCTACTGCAAGTGCTGGTTCGCATCCTTTAAGGAATACCAGTTAATCTTTGTTGTGTTGGATAAGTAGGAAAAGCAGCAAAACGACACCAGATGGTAGAGAGGAACAGCTATTGGGAATATACCTTATGTAGTGGGTGAGAAAACAATTTTTGTTCAAGTTCCTCCGTTTGGTCCGCCAACTTAACGAATTCTGGATCATCAATTCCCATATCCTGAGAGAATTCACATGTATAGTAAATAAATTTCCGTATGTGTAGTAAATATGCCGAGACCTGTTAATGACTTAAACCTAACATTTTTTTAGGATATCGGAAACATGAAATTCTTTAAGACGCGGATAAAAATCATCATCTACAAGGATATTACATGGACAAAATAAAATACATGTAGCACATTTTCTTAAAAATCAATAATTATACAAGCATATTGATTCTTTCTGCAAATCAACTTTTGCATTGCAACGGTATATGCATACAGTTCAAGTCATTAAAGAGGGGGCTATCCTTTGATAGTAGGCATAGAAGTTCAAAGCAAAACAATCAGCAAGATATTTGAGCAATTCATAGTGCACAATAGTGTTAACCAATAAAGCAGCACAATGGTAACAATTTCAAACCTTCACTGGATCAAGCTTTGGAAGACCTTGAGGAAAGCGTTTTTCAAGCTCCTGCACAGCTAGGAGAATGCTTTGTCGAGCTTCAATTGGCCGCAAGTCATTAGGAACAGATATTTTGAGCTTACTAAGTGCAGAAAGAAGAGGCAACTGAACAGGAACCTGAGACAAATAAAGACAAGTGCATGGCTTTCAAAGTGGACCAATTTTACTGTACATGCTAGCTACAAAAGTGAAGCGTGTATAGCAATTTTCTGTCACGACATTTTCCCCAGGAGAAGGTTATCGACTCACCACATGCATTTCACCCTTCTCTCCAGGACTTGGAGGACAAGGTTTTGGCTGAGAACCATTTTCACTTGATCCTAGAGAGCAGTGAAGCAGAGCGTCCACAATGTAACTATTACCACGTGAAGAAGCCATTGAAGCTGGCAAAGAACTTGATGGAGCTGGAGGTTTTTTCACCACATTGACTACGACTCCCCAACCCCAATCTGTTCCACCTTCCCTGACCTTAACCTGCAATTTCACAGAAGGGGCACAGACCCAGAGTTCAAAATAGAACCAAATAAATATATTCAGTGCATAAGCGAAGCTGTAAGAGTAAACTCAACGCAACCAGTATATAAAGTGTCATATCAAACATCACAAACAATAAGCAAGGGAAAAGAGAGGTGTGAATGAGGCAAAAACAAGGATGAACTAACAGGCAGTCTGAGCAAATTAGAGGTCATAAGAAAATTTAAATGCATGAATTCAATCCATTTGCAGAATAATGTGGGCAAACAGTTACTGAATGAGCGAAGGCAAAACGTGAAAAAGAAATATAAAAAAATAGTGAAGAACAAGACAAACAACAGTTAAAAAGATGGATCATGCAACCAATCAGAGGCAGTAAATGAACAGAAAGTACACGACATATGCTAGTCTACGTCATTTAATATAGGTAAACACCTATCATGGTACATACCAGCCTACCAGGTTGAAGGAAAGAGAGAACTCTTTCAGGCTGCGTTATCTCTGCCATCATTTTCTTTTCAAGTTGGGCCATTTCAAGCTTTAGTCTATGATATTCAGTAACCTGGGCCTGGCAGCAGAAACATGGGGGTTTAGTTTTTTTCTTATGAACTTAAACAAAACATTCCAAGCTTACAAAGAAAAGAGAAACTCCACCTCTCCAGAAGCATCAAGGACAGCAGCTTCCTCTTCAAGCTCTGAGACTTTCCTCCCCATGTCCGGTAAAGTCTAAAGAAGCAGAAATTGCATGAGTAGTCATTTTATTTAATTTATAATCATAAGCGAAATTCAGTTTTTAGATAAAACCTTCTCATATTGGAACTGGTGGAAGGAATGTCTGATAACATGCTCAGCAGTAAATTGTCCCTCAGCACGGCTCATTAAATTCAGAATTGAGTAGTAGCTTAAACGGAAAGTACTGACCAGAGGTGCTGGTCTACCCAAAACCATGTCTTTAAGGGTATTCATCTCCATCTGGTGTCAGAATGGAAAAGGTAAAAGATCGGTCAGATCATTAATACACATTACTGAATATACTCAGAATTGCCCATTTCACTAACTCTCGATTGGAAAGACTACATCAGATTTGAAATGCAAGTAGACAGAACAATAGAAAAAAAAAATCTCTATAAACATCACTTAAGAGGGAATTTAATTCTGAAAATTAAATTGTTCCTCATATAAACCAAGATAACATGGACCTTACTTTATCATCAATCATTATAATGCAAATACCCCGATCATCTTTACCACGGCGTCCAGCTCTGCCACTCATCTACAAGACAAGCATATTTGTCAACAGGCATATAAGGATCGCATATCTAATACACACGTCTTATTAAAAATTAAACTACTCACCTGAATATACTCACCAGAACCAATATAACGATGACTATCACCATCCCACTTTTTGACACTCGTGAAAACAACAGTTTTTGCAGGCATGTTCAACCCCATGGCAAACTGTCACACATGGAAGTTAATAAGTCAAGGGCAAAATAAAAACTAATAAAGAAAAAGGTCGCATGATATCTGTATACATAACAAGTTGGCAGTTGATGCAGAATATGATATATCATATATGATAGTGATTTATGATTGATAAGAGTATTAGATTGAACAGAAAAGACAACTACATCAGAACAATATCAGAAAACAAACTGCTAAGATATAATAATACCGTCTCTGTTGCAAACAGAGCCTTAACCAGTCCTTCTTGAAAGAGAAGTTCCACAAGTTCTTTGATTATAGGAAGCAAGCCAGAATGGTGAACAGCAATGCCTCGCTGAAGCAATGGTAACATTAATTCAATTGCTGGCAAGTTTCTATCTTCCTCATTCAAGCATAGGATTCCATTTTTAAACACTTGCTCCACAATGTCTTTCTCCTCTTGGGTATTGAAATCAAGCTTGGACATCGACATGGCATGTTGTTCACACTCTCTTCTGCTAAAACTAAAAATTATGACTGGCTGGAATTTTCGTTCCATTATCATCTGCAAAATCAACACTGAATATCAGAACTTTGAAACCCTTATTGAGCACAGGTAATTCAAGGTGAAGTACATCACAGAGAATGACCACAACAAGGAAATCCAAAACAAAAACAAAAGGCAAAAGGTTTGCTAAAACGATGAATATAGATAAGTCAATAACTGGAAATCAAACAGAAAATGGCAGTTCTGATGCTGAGTACCTCACCTTGACAATTTTGTATATGTCAGAACCAGCAGAAGCATTTCCGCCTTTTGCAATTCTGCCACCAGACTTAGAATTTGCACTCTTATTCCCATTATTACTCGTATTTTTCTTTGTAAAAGTATCCTGAAGTTTGGAAAAGTTGTCCTCCTTAAACTGCTCATTCTCATCAACTACAAGATACAAACCAGACCCACCCATAGGGAACATGTAGTGTTGCAGTGGCGTGGGCCTAAAATCTGTATAGACTACATGACATGGCTGTTTATGTATATTGCATATCCATTCAGCAAATTCAGTGGCATTCGACATTGTTGCTGAAAGAAAAACCATCTTAATGGCAGGAGGCAAGAAGATAATACTTTCTTCCCAAACAACACCTCTTTCACGGTCCTTCATGTAATGTATCTCATCAAATATGACCCAAGCAACTTCCTTCAACACCTCCGAACCCCTATAAAGCATTCCTCTGAGAATCTCGGTGGTCATTACCAAACAACTTGCATTAGGGGAAAGTGTCACATCCCCTGTCATCAAGCCAACATCTGAAAACTCCTGGCTCAACTCTCTGTATTTCTGATTGCTCAGAGCCTTTAATGGAGAAGTATATATGACCCTCTGTTTATCTCTAAAAGACATGGCAATGGCATATTCAGCCACTGCAGTTTTTCCAGCTGAAGTGTGTGCTGAAACTAAAACAGACTCATTTCTTTCCAAACAAGACACAGAAACCTCCTGAAAGGGATCGAGCTTAAATTGGTAGGTTTTTGCTCTTTCCCCATTATAAACAGGGTCTGCTAGGGTACCGTGAATTAATTCATCCTTGTTTGAGTCGTATCCACTTGGAACGGCCACCTCGTGCACACATGTCCGAGCTAAGGTACGCCTCTTAGAGCCAGAATCTTGAACAGGAACATCATGTTTGTTCTCTGAATTCTCTTCCAGTTGTTTCCGTTTCAGAGGAGTAGTATACTCGTCCATCGACAGTCCCTTGCAATCTAATCCCCTTGCTCAAGATTCCAAATTCTGGGTCCCCCAAATTATACTAGAATTCCCTGTAATCTGTAATAAAGCAGCATGGAGAAAAATGATTAAATGTTAATTCATGACCAAACAGCTCCTCCATTTCCTTCAATTCCTTTTTCACCTAAAACCTACATTTAATCTCATACATGCTGCAGAAAAATGAGATTAAACGCAAAAGTTGCATAAAAATAAAAAAAATCAAAAAATCAAAAATTGCAACCACGGAATACCATTTATCCACAGAATTAAACGATAGTGATTGAGAGATAATTCAATTCGATGAAAAATGCACATAAAGCTCTAAAAATTCCACTTCTGCCGCTAAATGGAGAACGCAAAAGAGTACCCACAGTATCCAGCTTGGTATGAACAGATGAAAAACCCTAAATCGACCAAAATGTAGAGCAACTTAAAAGTTTCCAGCAGAAATACATGCAGTTCTAATGATTATCATATGCGTGCAATGGAAAATCGAAGTTAGAAGAAAGCTTACCAGGAGAGCCAAGCACTTAGCAACTGTTGGTTGGTGAAAATGGTTAAACCCTAATTTGGCTCCGAATTTTGAAAAAAATGTTCGTTTTTGAAGCGGTACCCGGAGAGAACATGGGATGGGCCTACTTGAATTGTATGTAGTTTCCTAAACGGGTACGGACTGTGTTTATGGAATCCGATTAACTACTCGAATCCAAATATGGTTATAATTATTTAAATTTGACTTTTTTTCATTCAAACTTTTTTATTTTATTTTTGCTATATATATATATATAGATGGGAAAAGGAAAATTGTCTCAAAAGTAGATAGCATAAACGATACAACCATCGCCGTACTCAAACATGCATGTCGCCGAAAAGTGCCAAGATGCATTCAGTGCGATAATACAACCAAAAGAGATAGAAGAGAAAATATTAGAAAGTATAGTTTGGGAGAAAGACGGAGACTAAATAACTCGAATGTATGGTGAGGATTAAAGCAAAAAGATCCAACGATCAAAATTAGAGGATTTAAAGAGTTCTCATGATTTGACTGATCACTTGGGCTTTTGTACTGCTAGACTTTGAGTATTGGGCTGCCTTAGAAGAAAGTGAGTTAATGGGCTGGACTAATAATCCATTGGACCAAAAATCCAACAAGTACCAATTATGCAAATGAAGATTATAAATCATGTTATTTTTAATCAAATTGTTTCCTTTTAAATTGAAGTTAAGTACTTCCCATTATTTTGTAGGCAAATAATTTGGGAGCAAGTTGATCCAATCATATACGTGTATAAATTCATACGAATCTTTTTACACACATCCACGTATACGTGTACAGATTCGTACGTATCTTTCTACACACATCAACGTATATGTATATCTAATTCTTCGTCCAATATTCTTTCTTGATATTTCTTACTTTACACACAACATTCAAAGGCCAATATTCCATGTGTGCGTGTTTATGTGTCGGAGAGAGAGAGAGAGAGAGAGAGAGAGAGAGAGAGAGAGAGAGAGAGAATTAGTAGTTTATAATTTGCTTTGCCAGATATAAAAAAAATAATCAACTCACAACAGCTGTTAATGTTATCATGATCCAGTAATCAGGTGCTAATATACGCCCCCATTGACAAGTCTCTCTATGAGAGTGTGTAGATATAGTCTTCACTCCCTCCTTATCAATAATAATAATTATTAAATACATAATAAACCTTATTATCTACTGCCATAACATTCTTTTTTTTATTCATTCTCTTAATCTGTATATATATAATAATATATAGTATATAATATATATATAGGTAAAGATAATTGATTTAATAATAACTACTCAAGCAGCAGCAACCCCAGCAATAAACTGAAGTTTACCGGAGCAGGGCGAAACAGAGTACTCCCTCTTCTTCTTCGCTGCAGAGCGGCACGACTTCTCGTTCTGTTCGTCAATCGAGATTTGCCTGTACCGACATTCTGCACTGCAAAATGCCTTCTCCCCTCTGCAATAATAAATAGTTAAATTTTGTAATTAGTTCGAGCATTGGAAAACGTACGAAAAACAATACGACTTTAAAGTTTAAAGCCTGCTCGTGAATGAAAAGCAAACGACAAGATGGAATTTTTTTGATAGAATGTTTACTTCCAGGAACAAACAAGCATTTGTTTGTCTGCATTGCAAGCGAAACGGGTTTAGCACAAACTTCAAGCATTGAACACAGATAGATGTTGCTTTAGAAGCAAGAATCTTGGATAATGACACGATTAAGCATGATTAATTTCATTTATCAAGATTTTTTTTTTTCCCTCAACTTACTAGCACCCTAAGCAACCATTTCACGAAACCATCTAATCAGCAACGAATGGCTGCAAAGACTTCATATATATTCTCAATTATAGAAACCATAATCGAACAATTAGACGGACTATGAATTCAATCTCCAGCTCAAATTCAGTATGTAATGTAAGACATCACTAATATTTATATTTCTAACCATCAAGCGAAGAATTCGATGAAAATATACATGATCATGTTCTAATTGCTGAATCTCAGATCTAAAACATCAAAAAATTGTGTCGATTTATACGAAAAATGACTCCATCCAATCAAGAACACGAACATGAAATCATTCCACAATGTAAGAAAAAAAAATCCATACCATAGATTTGGCATAAATAGACAAAGCATAATTGATAATTTCATGATTAATCTCCGAATCATATAAAAAAATAAACAAAAAAATATTTACCTGTACATGAAAATATCCAAACCATCAAGCCTCTTCTCACAAAGAAAGCAGGAATTCAGAAAATCACCACCGCCACCACCATTTCCGGTAACAACAACCGCAGAAGCCTTGTGGGGCCCACTATCGTCTCCCAAAACACCAGCCTCGAAATACTCTCTCTTCTTCACGAGATTCTCCCCATCGTGAGATATCACACAGGTGTACTCCTCACAGAGCTCCATATCCTCCGCGCCGCCACCACCATTGACGGAGAAATCCTTCTTGTTGAGTATCGGGATAGGGCTCGACGAAGAAGATCTCGGAGAAATCGCCACAACCGCGGCGGTCCGGCCGCCGTTGGTGAAAACCGGATCCAGCTGGCGGCGATCGTCGTCCAGGGCGGCGAGAATGCCGAGCCCAACGACGCCGTTTTGCTTCGCCCCCTCGAAATTGATCGCAGCTTTCTGGCCACTGATTTGCTTTGCTGAATCCGCCATTTTTTCTAGGGTTACAAACAAAACAAAACAAAAAACAACGAAGATGTGCGAGAAAAAAATCTGATTCTTCACGGATCGCTAGCGTCGAAATTGCTACGGGCTCACTCAAAATCGAAATTGAGGGTTTGATCAGGAGATTAAGCGCGCAAGCAATCGAGAAAGGGGATTTTAGGGTTGTCTGTGTGAGAGAGATGAGAGAGATAAGAGAGAAGAGAGAGAAACCAATCGTCGTCAAATCCTCTTACCTCGCTCGCCTCGATTGCTCTCAAACTTTTGGGGATGGGAGGGAAGAATATATAACGAGCAGAGAAGCCTCAGATACTCTATTTTATTTATTATATATTATTTATTATTTATTATATTAAAAAAAAGGGGAAACTACAGATAAATCCCTAATCCAAAACTCAACACACAGATCAGTCCCTAGGTAGTTTCCCCAAGCAATTCAGTCCCTATTCACGCGTCTGACATGCAGTTCAGTCCCTAATGTGAATTTTATATATTTTATTATATTCTCTCTCTTCTTTTTCACTCTCACCCTTTTATCTCTCTTCTTTTTCTCTCTCTTCATCTTCTCTTTCTTTCTTCTCTTTCTTCTCTGTTTCTACTGCTCTCTTTCTTCTCTATTTCTTCTCTCTTTCTCTCCTCTGGTTTCCTTTTTTTTCCGACGAAAAAATCACTGTAAAACCCACCCACCCCACAATGGTTTCGAATCCCGGAAGGTTATTTTACTGTTGCCCACACCATGGCTACTCCCATTGGTGTGAACCATTTGAAGTTGGGCAAACTTTTTCCAACTCAAATCGTGAAGAAAATGAAGCTACAAGTGCGTCGATGAACCAAGTCCATCAAGAAAGTGAAGTGAAGAATTGCAATTCTGAAGGTGGAGTAGTTCATAGTTTGATAGTGTTGAATCTAGTAATATTTGCAGTCTACATGCTATGCAAAACATATGTACTGTTGTTTAATTAGTGAACATAAGAGTACAATGTATAAGCTGGTAAAGTTCGGGTTATTCGTGAATATAGTACGCTTTGTCCACCAAATAAGTACAATGTATAAGCTGGTAAAGTTCGGGTTATTCGTGAATATAGTACGCTTTGTCACCAAATAAGTACAATGTATAAGCTGGTAAAGTTTGGGTTATTCGTGAATATAGTACGCTTTGTTCATCAACTAAGTACAATGAATACACATGTGAAGTACAAGTGATTCGTGACTATAGTACGATTTGTTCACTGATAAAGTATATGTTTGCCATTTATATAGTATTGTTACAGTCTATATATTATTATCGGTCCAATGCATCCATATGATCGCATTTTAAGACACAACTCTTCATTTTAAGACTATTAAGAATGAATGGAGACAATGTGGGAGTTGATCAATATCGATTATGGTAACAATTGAAAAAAAAAAAAAAAACAATTGAAGAAAATATTAGTTTTACACTTGAGCATTGTAGACTTGTATGAATATATTGTATAGTATATGAGTATCATGTATGAAATTCAACATATTTATGGGATCTTGTATTCCAAACGCAACAATAATTCTCACCTACCTTAAAATAACCATCTAAAACATAATTTATGCATCTCCCGTACTTATTGATCATTAAAGCGTCAATGAAATTGGTACAATTCAATTCATCAAAAAATATGGTACGCTTTGTTCATCAAGTAAGTACAATGAATACACATGTGAAGTACAAGTGATTCGTGACTATAGTACGATTTGTTCACTGATAAAGTATATGTTTGCCATTCATATAGTATTGTTACACTCTATTTATTATTGTCGGGCCAATGCATCCATATGATCGCATTTAAAGACACAACTCTTCAGTTTAAGACTATTAAGAATGAATGGAGACAATGTGGGAGTTGATCAATATCGATTATGGTAACAATTGAAGAAAATATTAGTTTTACACTTGAGCATTGTAGACTTGTATGAATATATTGTATAGTATATGAGTATATGTATGAAATTCAACATATTTATGGGATCTTGTATTCCAAACGCAACAATAATTCTCACCTACCTTAAAATAACCATCTAAAACATAATTTATGCATCTCCCGTACTTATTGATCATTAAAGCGTCAATGAAATTGGTACAATTCAATTCATCAAAAAATATGGTACGCTTTGTTCATCAAGTAAGTACAATGAATACACTTGTGAAGTACAAGTGATTCGTGACTATAGTACGATTTGTTCACTGATAAAGTATATGTTTGCCATTCATATAGTATTGTTACAGTCTATATATTATTGTCGGGCCAATGCATCCATATGATCGCATTTTAAGACACAACTCTTCATTTTAAGACTATTAAGAATGAATGGAGACAATGTGGGAGTTGATCAATATCGATTATGGTAACAATTGAGGAAAATATTAGTTTTATACTTGAGCATTATAGACTTGTATGAATATATTGTATAGTATATGAGTATCATGTATGAAATTCAACATATTTATGGGATCTTGTATTCCAAACGCAACAATAATGCTCACCTACCTTAAAATAATCATCTAAAACATAATTTATGCATCTCCCGTACTTATTGATCATTAAAGCGTCAATGAAATTGGTACAATTCAATTCATCAAAAAATATGGTACGCTTTGATCATCAAGTAAGTACAAAGAATACACATGTGAAGTACAAGTGATTCGTGACTATAGTACGCTTTGTTCACTGATAAAGTATATGTTTGCCATTCATATAGTATTGTTACACTCTATATATTATTGTTGGGCCAATGCATCCATATGATCGCATTTTAAGACACAACTCTTCAGTTTAAGACTATTAAGAATGAATAAGAACAATGTGGGAGTCGATCAACATCGATTATGGTAAGTTTTTCGTGAATACACATGTGAAGTACGCTTTGTTCATCAAGTAAGTACAAGTCTAGTGTTGACAAAGTATCTTCGAATAGACTAGAAAGTATTTGTTGCTCATTTTTATGGTACGCTTATATTCTTTATACAAACTAATTAATCGCAAAATAAAGTACCATGTGTTCAAAAGGTAATTACATTTCATCGAAACATATAGTAAAATGTATACAATGGAAAAGTACGAGTAGAGCTAATCAATAGTATTATTAGCTCTACAACAAAAGGACAGATTGTTTATGGCACAAAAAACACATTCATCTATTTGAAAAGCGATCGGTGAGCACCTGCAGCCTATTGATAGCTTACTGCAATCTTCTTTTACATCAATTCCTGCAATTACATACACATAAAACTACAATTATAACAAATACAACGTACTATAAAGTTCAACTACTAGTACTTCCAGTAATTTCGTTCAATACCATCCAAATGCACTAGCAATACCATTGTTGCATATGACACATACTACATTACAATCAAACATTATACTATTCGAATGCACTAGCAATATCACTCAACAGCACTAGCAATACTATTGTGGCATATGACTTATACTACAGAACCACCAAACATTATACTTCAAGTACCCTGTGTCAATACCATCTAAATGCACTATTAATACCATTACTGCACATGACACATACTATAGAACCAGTACGAAAAATACAATAAGCCTCTTTCTCATGTCATAAGAATAATACCCAAGAGAAAACTATTACAAAATCATGAAATTCGACAACAAATAAATGATCTTTGCAAACCCAAACAACAGAACAACAGATATTGAACCGATTTAATGATTAGGGGAAACACCGAATAAAGTCGAGGCATAATACCCATGAGTGGATATGTTCAAAATCATGCAATTCTATAACAAATTAACCTTTTGCAAGCTCAAGCAACACCCAAATGGGTCTGTTTCCAATAAAATGAAAAAAAAAAAAAAAAAATCAAACCTTGTTGTTTACCATGCTTCACCATTGTCTATAAATGGGTTTGTTTATTTTTATTTTTCCTTTCGCTTTATTATTTTTCTGCGTTTTGTTGATTCTTCGTGCTTCGTAATTTCTTCGTTCTTTGTTGTTTCTTTGTTCTTCGTTTCTTTGTTCTTCGTTTCTTCTCTGTTTCTTCTTGGTCTGAAAATGGGTATAAACTGGCAAAGAGCGTGTAATACAAACGGCGCGTTGGAAGTTGAAAAGAAGTTATGTAAAATTAATATAAAGTAAAGGGTATTTTAGTATTTGCACATTTTATTAGGGACTGATCTGCATGTTAGGCGCGTGAGTAGGGACTGAATTGCTTGGGGAAACTACCTAGGGACTGATCTGTGTTTTGAGTTTTGGATTAGGGATTTATCTGTAGTTTCCCCTAAAAAAAAAAAGATATATATCTTTATTAGCTTTTTAAATAAATAATAAACAACTTCATTTTTTTTTTTTGGGTCACGTGAATATAAATAAATACATGTAGTTGAGATAAATTCTTTTAATTCTATTTATTATAAAAAAGAAATATATATGAAATAGTTGTGGAGTTGAAAAGGAGATAAATGTAAAATATGGTAAATAATGCTTTTTATTGTATTTTTTTTTTCAAATAAATTATTTTGAGAAAACAAAATCACAACAGTTCCTTACTTTCACAGTAAGCAAGGGGAAAAGACATAAACACCCCTATATAATAGTGTCAATAACATAAACATGGTTGTGCAGTCGAATGTACTACTACTTGATTAGGATCTGATTCTTATGCAGTACAAGTGTACAACCCATGAATTTAAAGGTAAATTACGAACACTCCTCGAGATACGGTCAAATTACGAAAATGCCCATCATGTTTGGGTAATTAAAATTACCCCTCAACTATGCATTTTCAGACACATGCATCCTTATGGTGTCAAAATAATATAATCTTCTAGATTCCGCTAAATGTTCTTTAGTTTGTACTCGTTTTATGCAATGTGCAGTTTCTGACGTACCACAATTTAACGCCCCAAAAGTGGACGTGTAAGAAGATTCAATTCATAGATGAGGGGTGGTTGTAATTACCCAAACATGAGGGCGGTTTCGTAATTTGATCATACCTCGAGTGGTGTCCGTAATTTACCATAAATTTAATTTCGATGACCATACAAAAATTAAAAGTGAAAAATAAAATAAAAAAAAAAAAAATTAGAAAAAGGGAACACATAAAATAAAGGTGGATGCAACAAAGGAATTCGAAAAGTTAGTATCGAAAATTAATCTCTTTGTCCCCTCTTTTTGGATCAATGCAACTTGCCGAAAGCCTAAAGAAAAAAGTAAAAATAAAATAAAAAAGAAGGTATTAAATGAGTCATAAAAGAATAAAAATAAAAGTAGCCAATTTAATTTCAAAATTATGAAAATTCCGAAATTCAAAAAAAGAACTAAAATCAATTTTGTATAGAAAATTGAAATTGCATGACGAATGGCCACTGAGTAAGTGAAATTGATGGTCCAAAGGAATCGCTAGGCCACCACTATCATTTAAAAAATATATATATAAATTAAATATATAAAATAAATAAATAAAGAAAAAGTTAAATGAGTGAATTAAAGAGAGAAAAGAGGTCCCCTCGATAGATTTTTGGCCTTTGTCATTAAATTGGCAAACAATTTCAATGTCAAATGTCTATCATTGACTTTAGGCCTACTTTGGACCTATATATATTATTTTTTGTTCTAACTATTGCAAAATAATTATTATTTGCTAAAATAAAATAAAATTTAAAAAAAAAAGGCAAAAAAATGAGAGGTGGTGATGAAAAGCATCATTGCTTGTGATTATGCTTGCTTTTAGAGAGAGGAAATTAAACTTGATGATGCCTTCAATTAATCATACTACATAACCATGCTTGTTGCACTTAGGTTTTTATCTTATATTTAAATAAGTCAAATTCATACCTCCATCAATATTAAATTCATGCTTTAATTCGTTCGTTTATGCCTCTAATATAATTTATTTTGAAACTATTATACGAGAATGCAGGTATACACTGATCAGCTGTGAATTCTTTGGTTACCAAATAAAATGGCATTTAATTAAGACCAAAAAAATTAATATTCTATTATCATTTATAAAAAAAGTTTTTGCTATTTTTGGAGCCCAATAAAATTAAATTATAATATTATAACTACACAAGAGGCCCAATTTCATAGCCCATGAAATTTCTTCATCGTCTGTCTGTTTACAGATTTATCAGTTAACAAAGGAACCATAAAAATGGAAGCCGTACTACTCTCTTCTCCGCCTTTTACAGTGAAGAGGAAGCGTTTCCGGCAATTTACATCGGACAATCGGAATCGGAATCGGAATCGGAATCGGAATCTCAAGGTACTTTGTTTTTCTGTTTTATTGAATTACCAGCATTCTTCAATTGTTTGGTTGGGTTTGAGGTGTGAGATTTTTGCCCCGTGATGAACATGAAGGCGCGTGAAATGAAACTCAAAGATTGCATTTTTTTTTATTTTTTTATATGTACACTGTGGAATTTGTATTGCCCTAACTTATATATTGGTTCAAGGATATTAATTGCAGAATCTGAATCATTGTTTCATTGATTTGAAAATTTTGATTTGAAAATTGAATTAGGGTTTTGTTACAATCGATGGTTGTTTGTTGTTTGTTTTGCATTAGCAGATTTTGAGCTTAGAAGTTATTTGAAAGAGAAGTTATGAGCATGTTTAATTCGAAGTTTGCAGGGCAGATATGAGGGTTTCGTCAATATAACTAAAGCTTCCGATTCCAATTCCAATTCACTATCACATTTGGTTTCCGGAAGAAAAATCCTCGACAAAAAATCGAAAGCCCTCTCGGCCGATAATTCCACCCTACCAGCTTTGCTGCTACACTATGCCGCCAGCGGTTCTCTCTCTAAAGCCCTCGGAATTTGGGATGAGATGATCAACAGTTCATTGATGCCTAATGCTCAACTAGTTTCTCAATTGATCTTTATCTTTGGTTGTACGCAAGACTTCGGTACCGTCGCAAAAATCTTGCGCCAAATGGAACTCAAAGATTCCAAACTATTACCCGATATTTTCACTCTGTCCGTATCTCATTTTGGCAAGAACGGACACCTCGAGTGCATGGAGATCATGATCAAGAAAATGTGTTCTATGGGATATTCCATAGATTCCGTTACTGGAAATGCTTACGTACTGTACCACAGCCTTTTCGGTTCACTAGCTGATACAGAAGCTGCTTACGGGCGTCTCAAAAAATCGAGGATTCTAATCGAAGAAGAAGCTATAAGGGCTTTTGCTTTAGCTTACATCAAGAAGAATAAGTTCTACGAATTGGGTTGTTTCGTGCAAGAAGTAGGCCTCGGCAGGAGAAACGTCGGGAATCTTCTATGGAATCTTCTGATTCTTTCTTACGCGGCGAATTTCAAAATGAAGAGCCTGCAGAGGGAGTTTGTGAGGATGGTGGAATCGGGATTCAATCCCGATTTAAATACGTTCAATATTCGATCGGTGGCGTTTTCGAGAATGTCTCTATTATGGGATCTTCATCTGAGCATCGAACATATGAAGCACGAGGCGGTTTTCCCCGATATCGTGACCTATGGTTGTGTAGTTGATGCGTACATGGATAAAAGGCTTGGGAGGAATTTGGAATTCGCGTTGAACGAGTTTAATTGGAATGATTCGGTTTCGATATCGACGGATTCACTTGTTTTCGAGGCTATGGGGAAAGGGGATTTTCATTCTAGCTCGGAAGTCGTTATGGAGTACGTGAAGAGAAAGGATTGGACGTACAAGATGCTGATTTCTGTGTACCTTAAGAAGAAGTTTCGGAGTAATCAAATCTTTTGGAATTACTGATTAAGTTGTTTGTATGTGCCTTCAGAAGATCAAAATCAGCACAGAGAAAGAAGATGACGTGGCCCAGTGTGTGTTTGTGTGTGTGTGTGTGTGTGTGTGTGTGTGTGAACTGTGATCATAGCAGAATAATGCCATGTATATAAGTAGACCAAGAAAACAAGAACCCATATTTAGAAATAAATACCCCTTTCTTACAATATGAAATGAAATTTGAGAGATATTTTAAATAACTCCATGGCGCACGAAAACTTCAACTTCTTAATGCTTTCGTGTTTCGGACATGTTTTGTGTCGGACATTTGAGGACACCTATCAGACACTTTATAGATCATTTTGCAATTTTTAAAAAAGTTAAAAAACATGTTTGAGTAGCAAATTTTCAAATATTTATGTTACTTCCCTTATTATTTCAACGATTTAATGATCAATTGCAAATTGATAATAAAATTTATTTTGAATATGTGTTATGATTTTATATATAAATAAAAAAACTTACGTTTATATAACATACCTATAAATGTACCTCCATAGTCTTAATATTTACATGTTTCCCTCTAGCTCACGTATTCCCATTTTTTGGATATGCCGTTTTCCCACTTGTTTTCATGTTTCCACATATCATTTTTTTTACCGAAGATGTAAATAAATAAATCAAAAAATGTCATAATACAATTTCAAAGGACATACCCGAGGTAATCGCAAAACCGGAAGTAAACGTAAGAAAAATCATAAAACACACAAGTCTAAGTGGGGTTAATCCCCAAAACCCTAATTTGTATTCACCAATTGCCATCACTAGTGTCGCCAAGCAGACCGTGTCATTGTTTCCGTGCTACATAGCTCTATAATAGGTGACCTTTAATTTTCAAAAACCCGAGAGTCTACAAAGCTCTATAGTAAGTGACCTTTAATTTTCAAAAACCCGAGAGTCTACAAAATTTGGACCATTTTCTCGGTCTATGATCCCATATCCCTATTTATGGTGTGTTTCTCGTATCACTGTTTCCGTGCTACATAAGCTCTATAGTAAGCGGATTTTAATTTTCAAAACCACGAGAGTCAACCAAAATAAAAAGGCTGCGGCTATATGCAATACTCATTCCACTTGTGCAAGACCAAATTAAAGAAAGATTCCAAAAGATTCTATTTTATGAAGATGGAATGACAAGTATGCCCATAAATTAAATTGGCTTTTTTTCTCATGTAAGACCAAATACAAATAATGAGAAAAAAACAAAAATCGACACCAAGGTGTCGAAAAACTATGCTACAAATCGACACTTAAGCGTCGAATTTAATAGGTAAAAATCGACATTGACATGTCGAATTTGTAGCACAAATTCAAATGTCGAATTTTATACCTAAAAATCGACATCTAAATGTCGAATTTTATACCTCAAATTCGACATCTAAATGTCGATTTTTACCTGTAAAATTCGACCTGTACATGTCGAATTCGTTTGCGCGGGATTTTTTTTGGAAAATCGATATTCTAGCTAAAAAAACCCATAAATGCATACATTCTTGGGTTCTTCCATCGTAGAATCTTCTATTTTGATGTCTTCTGACTCCATACTTGCCATCTTTGTAAGATTTGTTGAGTTTTGATGATTTTGAATTTCTAGGTTTTGTGTGTTAATGGAGGAGGAAGGAGAAAGGTCTTGTGAGTTTTGGAAGATGGAGAAGATGATAGTTGGTCTTGTGGTTTTGTGGTCTTGTGATAGGGTTTTTTGTGTTTTTGAATTTTTGGTCTTGCATATTTGGAATTTTTTATTTTTTTAATAAATAAGGGTATTATTGTATATATACATTGAAAATTTTAATTTGGTCTTGCACAAGTGGAATTAGTCTTGCATATAGCCGCAGCCAAATAAAAAACCCAGAAAAAAAAAATTTGGACCGTCAACCAAAAACCCGTAAAAAAAATTTGGACCATTTCTCGATTTATGCGTGTCATCCTTGCGCAGGGGCCATGCTAATCTTCTCTGTATCGTTCCAATTTTATCGGATGTCCCCGAAGGGACACTAAGTAGTTGCGACGCTTTAGTAGATATATCTTACAATAGAAAATTGTTTATCCGATGTGGGATGAAAGCACAAACTAAATAATTGGGCCTTTAGAATTTATCTATGATGGGCCGTTAAAGATTGATTAGCCCTTTACTGATGGACTTTCACTGTTGGATGGGCCCTAAAATTTTCCTCAAAAGAAGTATAGCTGAATCAAGCTCAAAATCGATTGAAAATTCGTCGGTGAAGTTTAGCGTCGGGGCCGATACTGACCGATTAATTTCGCCAATGAATCCGTCGGTGATCAATTTTTTCGATATTTTTTTTTTTTCAAAAAGGGGGAACCATTAATATTAATAGGAAAAGATTAACATTTATTACAAGCACATTATATGATATGCTTGTTTATCAAATGTTGTATTACAAACAAAACATAGTATAGATATATATATGGACATGTTACGGCACCAACTAAAGATATATAGAGGATAAAAATGAACTATTCCCTGAGAAGAAGCAGTCATAGATAAAACCAAATACATAATCATTTTTCAAACCAACAAAAATGCATTAGGAATTAATTTCCCATCGGATTTCTCTCCGCTATATATCCAGCCATCGATCGCACCTTCCCACCGTTATAATCCGAATACATCTTCGGCGTTTCAATCACCTGCCGAAAAATAAATCGACATTAATCTCACCTCATTGAGGAAGCTGTGTTACTAGAATGAAAAAAAAATGTTCCAAAATCGGAAAACATAGAACCGGAATCGGCAGAATTCAGAAAAATTCCATTTTTTAGTCATCTGAAATACAAAAACGTAACATTTTCGATAATATAAGTGTAAATTTCGGGGAAAACGGGATTTTCGAAATTATTTTTGGAAATTAAAATCGGATAAAAAAACGGAAAGCGGAGTTTTGGAATTCAGAACGAAAAAAATTGCTCCAAAATCGGAACCGGCGGAAAATCGGAAATTCCGGTCAAATTTCCAACCCTAATCACGATTCAATCAAAACCTTAATCATGATCCAATCAAAGATCAAAAATCAAAACTTACATGAGAATGGGAAGTGGTCTGACCACCTGAAGTCATAGAGCTCATATTCATCGAAAAACTAGGCATAGTCTCTTCAGCCAAAGCTCTCAATCTATTAAGCTCCGGCAAAACTGTAAGTCCCAAATCCGGTCTATCCTTCCGCCTCAACTCAGTACACTTAAGCGCCATCTTGGCAAAGACCAACGCCTCCTCAACCGGCCAATCAGTAACCTCCGGATCGAGCATCTCCGCAAAAGTCCCCTTCTCAATCGACCTCTCCACGTGATGAGTCAGCCCCATGGGTGACTTAGCCGTAATTATCTGAAGCAGCATAACTCCAAGCGAATAAACATCCGATTTAATACCAAGCATTCCAGTCTGTTGGTATTCGGGGTCGATGTAGCAGAAAGTGCCAGCTGTCGAAGTCATGCGGTACTGTGTGACTGTATCGGCGACAGATGGCGGGACCAGCCTGGCTAGGCCCACGTCACTGATTTTGCTGACGAAGTTGCGGTCGAGGAGAATATTCCCTGGTTTGAGGTCGCGGTGGACTAGCGGCTCTGGCTTGGTCTGGTGGAGGAAGAGGAGGCCAGTGCCGATTTCGGCGGCGATTCGGAAGCGGAGCTGCCACGGGAGGACCGGGGTGTTGCCTCTGCGGAAGAGGCGGTCGTCCAAGCTGCCATTGGCCATGTACTCGTAGACTAGGCAGCCGTACTCTGGGCAGGCTCCGAGGAGGAGGACCATGTTCGGGTGTCGTATGCAACTCAGAACTTCGACCTGAATTAAACATGTTATTAGGAACTGAAATACCGTTTCAATTTTAGTGGTACTGTTTCGTTTCGACTTCAAATGTGATTTTGACTCTTTTTCAATCCGAAGTTGGCAAAATTTGAAACCTCAAATATGTAGTCCTTTTGAGTTGTCTTTCTAATACAACTTGAATCAGTTAGATTGGATGTCGACCTAGAGAATTATGCATGAATTGTGAGAGAATTATGCATGAATATTCATGCACAATTCATTCATGTATTTCTCTGTCACCCGACATCCAATCCAGCTGATTCAAGCTGGATTAGAAAGCCAAGTGAAAGGGTTAAAATCATATGTGAAGTCGAAGCGGTACCAGTAAAATGGAAACGACATTTAGAAACTATCCCACCTCTTGCTGAAATTGTGACCTTCCTTGAGCTGCATCGGGGCGAAGAACCTTGACCGCAACCTGCGTGTGATCTAAGTTGCACTTATAAACAGGCCCATATCCACCCTCCCCGATTTTACGAGACTCCGTGAAGTACTCCGTAGCTGTTTCGATTTCCTCTATGGAGTATTTGCGATATCTAAGATCGGTTTGTGCCAACTTATCAAGAACCTTCTTCTTCTCCTCAGCTTCTTTGAGTGCTTTCCTTTCGGCACTGATTCGCTTTTGTGCCTCGAGTTCAGCCACTTTCTGAGCAGCTTCGGCTTTCTCAATAGCAACCCTGCATTTCTCTTTCTCCTTTTCCGCAATTGCCAATGCTGCTTCTTCGGCTAATCGAGCCTCCTCGAGCCTCTGTTGTTCTTCTACTTTCCATCGATGAAGCTCCAATGCCTAGATATATATATATATTAGCAGACTAGTATTTATTGATGGATCATCGATGTAAAAGGTTTTTAGGTATTCTGTTTTTTACACTGTTGTGAATAGGGGTAGAAATCAGACGGATTGGATCGGAATTAGCAATTTTCCGAAAAAATACCACAAAAATTTCTTTCCGGATTGGAAAATTCTAACTCTGTTCCCAACAAAATCGGAAAAATAAAAAATCAGAAATCAGAATTAGTAATCGAGAACATTACTTTCTGTTTAGCTGTGAGTGCTTCCCTGCAAGCCGTGCTATACATATCCATCGTCTGTTTGAGCTCCTGCTTAAGCCTTCTCATCTCTGCTTCGACATCATCCTGCATATATATATATATATATATATATGTATACGTGTATATATATTATTATATTCCATAAAATGAACAAGTGAAAAGCCCTTAACACTGTAGACTCTTTTTTGCATACCAGGCTTTGAGAACCAGACCAAGAAAAGTTCCCACTTTCCTGTGAGCTGGACGAGCATACTCCGAAGCTGTTATTTGCATCTGATGACCTGGCATTAGAAAACGGAGATCCGAAACTCAACCGATTCTCGGTATCCGAACTGTTTGAAAGACGAGGAGCCATCATCATATCCTGCTCTAAAGATGGAAACATGCGCTCGTTGCTTGGCCTCACTGAGCTCACAAACGATATATCCATATTATCGGGCATCGAAAGTTCTCCGTAGGATCGGTTTGAAGCTTTGCAGTTGCCTCTAGTAAAAGGTGACCTGTCGGAATAAATATATTTATCAATTGTTTTCATCCATTTTCTTGATAATAGTAATATATATTTAAATTTGATGAAATGTGATTAGCTGTTTGTAACGGATAGCTTACTTGATTGAATCTGTCTCCTCCAGTGTGGACTTGGAGTTGGATGAATACTGGGTTGCAGAAGTACCTGTCGAATTGGGGAAATTTGGTTTCATTTCAATGTAAAAGACAAAAATACCCTCACTAATTTAAAAAAAACAATTTGGTTTTGAACGGTAAACGACCGGGGGTGCAAAATGTAAACTAAATTATTCCCAGGGTGCAAAACTAAAGTTTGCAGTTTGCTCCACCGTGCGACCCAATTTCGAGTGTTACTTGGTGAGGAAATGGCTGAAGGATAAAAGGAAATGGAAATTTGAATTTGACATATGGAATCACATAGAAAAAAATGCTACTGAAAAGACAAAAATGCCCTCATTGACTTCCAAAAGAAAATCAACTCAACAAAATGCTATAATTTTCCAGGAGATGCAAAGTGACTGAACACTACATTTAGAGCGTGCAGAGAGGGATTAAGTGATCAAGAACCGGCAATTCCGAAGATTCAAAAATAAAAATAAAAATTGATAATAATAATAATAATAATAAATAATAATAATAATAATAACACTACCTCGCATTCCATTGCCTTGCATATAACGTGCATCATTTTGACCCGAAGTAGGATTACTACTAGCGTTCTGCGAAGAACGAGGAGCTTCTTTTGAAAGTGATGATACGGCCGATCTAACGGTCGAGACTTTCCCTTTGGAAATGACGTACACTGTACAAAAATCCGGTGCCCCTTTGGTAACACTCCCCGGTACATCAACAGTCTTGAATCTTCTGTGTCCATAGATTTGTAAGTGTTCTTCGCTTATCTTCATTTATGAATCTAGATAAAAATAATATACATATCCATATATATATATATAAGGTGAAACAGCTCCTTTATATTACCTAACAAATCCATTCTTGACTGTGGAACCGACCACTAAGGTCTCGATCGTGTTGTTCTTGACATAGTCACAAATGGCTCTTGCAATGTCAGTATCTTCAATTACAACTTCATTGACTTGTATCTGTACCCCCAAAAAAAAAGAAAATGTCATAAACACATCATAGAGAAATCGTACACGTATGTATGTATATGAAATTGGGGAGAGTATATTAAATGGACTTACGTCCTTGCGGGTGCAGAAGCAACGGAAAGGAAGGAAGAGTTCCTTGAATTGATCGGCCGCAACTTTGCCGTCATTGTCAGAGAAAGCAACGTGACTTCCCACTTTCATCCGTCACCGAAACGCAAAATCGAAAATAAATAAAATTAGAGCAGAGATTTCATCTATAGGTGATGAAATATATTTCATATTGAGACAATGGCATATTTATGCAACTCTTGTTAAAACATTAATATTTCATACTTCACACATGATCAATCAAACCTCATAATCATATGGGTGAGTTATGAATGCTAAAGGAATGCACACACACACATACACACACAAACACACACACACACACACACACACACACACACACACACACAGAGAGAGAGAGAGAGAGAGAGAGAGAGAGAGAGAGAGAGAGAGAGAGAGAGAGGAATAGGTACGTGGAGCAGAAGAGGTCCTCTGTTTGACATGGAGGAGGGCAACAGTTTTGCCTTTGCCCAAGAGATGATCAACAGCCCATTTCAATGCAGCTTGGCTGCCTTTATCTTTATCAATGGCAACTGCTACCATATCTTGCTTCTTTTCCCCATTCCCCTTCTGATACGTCATTTTCGAATTGGGGAAAATCTCGCACAAGACAAAAACAAATTAAAAAATCTCTTTTCACACCACCTCCAACCAATTCAGGACCTCCAGAAGAGAAGAGAAGAAATTTCCGCCCTAGGTTTTCTTCTTCTCCCTGGAAAAGAAAAGGGGAAAAAAAAAAAAACTTTTTCTTTTCCTTTTGAGATCGTGGTGTTGCTTCCGTGCGATGAATGCTATTTCATCTCCATTGGAGAATTTGGGAGGCACACTTCCCTCCTCAATTGGAACCAATTTCCTCTTTTGATTCATCTTTTCCAAATTTTATTGCTTCCTTCCATTTTCAGCCCTACGAATCCCCCTATTTCCATGCCTTTTCTGCACACCATCCGTTCGTCTCTCTCTCTCTCTCTCTCTCTCTCTCTCTCTCTCTCTCTCTCTCAAATTCATTTACTATTATTATTTTCTGTGTCTGTTGAATGGTGCAGAAATTTCATTCCGAACTCGTTGGATCGAACTGGACTCAGGCTGCTTCACATTTTAATGACTTCATTCTTTTTTTTGTTAAATTACACCTGCCTCCATGAAATTATATGTAATTACGGTTAGACCCCTCTCATTTCAATTATTATGCAATTACATTTTTTTTTTTTAAATTATCACTGACCAAATATATTGAGTAAATGGGTGTAAATGAGCCAAACTCGAGCTTTCATTTGATGAGCTCAAACTCGAACTTAAGCACTCATCTCCTTTTTCTTTTTCTTTTTTAATTTTAGTTTTTTTTACTATGAATAGTTTATATGAAAAGTTAAAATATTACAAAATAAAACACTAATCTCTAATTTTTCCATCTTGGGCGTTCAATTAAAAAAAAAAAAAAAAAATTGCACTGGGCGCCCAAGTTGGGCTTTTACGCGTTTTGGGGTTTTAGAGGGATAAAATATTTTTTTGGGTGGTTTTGTTATAAACCGCAAATAGCAATTCCCTTTTTATATTAATAATACAACTAAAGATGGGCTCGAGTTCGAGCTTGAACTCGAGCTTTTGTCAAGCCAGCTCAGCTCATTTACACCCCTAAATAAGTTATAGTTTCTCCTCCCTGAAGATAGGCCTAACTATATATAGACCCCTCACATTCCGAACACATTACACACACATCCTTTAAAAAGTTTATTCTGAACTAGAAACTGAATTTAAAATCATTAAACTATAGTATTTTAATTTTTACTATAGTGTTATGAATAAACAACAAAATGCAGTTATTTTTCATATAATCGATTTACAACAAATTAAATCAGCCATCGAAAGTGATTGTTGAATGTTAGTTAATGATAATCAACTTCAAGGGAGGAGACTAATTTTTAAAGAGTTTAAAACTCAAATCTTATATAACTTTATTTAAAAAAAAAATCTATTTCAAATTAAAAGTCTCACAAAATCAAAATATTATAACTAAAATTTTCAAATAGTTAAATTTATCTTATTAATATGATATAAAGCAACATATTGTATCTTCTTCTGTATATTCATTCCTATTAAGATCTGCATGGAGTAACTCTGCATGGGGAGGGAATATATATACGTGCATGATAGCTTGTGCATTTTATCTATTACAAAAAAAAAAAACGCCAGATGTGCTGAATATAATAAAAACCAACCAATTAATTAATCTAATATTATATTCAATAAAAACAAGGCATATTTTATTATATACATGATTATTTGCTACACCAAAAAAACCAAAAAAAAATATTAAAAAAAAAAAAAAAAAAAAAAACAGAAAGATATATATACAAACCCACAGTTTTGGCATGATTTGTTGCATGATTCATTCATCTTCATAACAATCTGGCTGCTGCGCATACACACACACACACACACAATGAACTGATGATCTCTATCGATCACTTTTGTCAGTTTCTACCAAAACCACTTCAATCAAACTAAATAAAAAAAAAAAAAATCAAAATATAAGGCTCAAAACAAACAACTTGTAGATAGAAACACACACATTCTATATATCTAACTTTGAGCAATTTAGGCGACAGCCAGCCGACGACGACAAGCTTCCCGGCTTTCGCGGAGATCGATTGAGTTACGTACGAGATGTATATATATGCTGTACTCTTTTAATATTCCTTAACCTCTTCGATCCTCTCGACGGCTTCTTTAATGTCGGGCCTTATGTCGACGTCCACCTGGCAGCAACTCAATCCAATATTCAAGAGTTTCATCATCTCCACCACGGAACGATCGTCCCTCTCCATGTCCGCGTCAAGAACCTCCACGTTGTCGCCGTCGTCACCCACGGCGGCCTCCACCCACGCCGCCACGTCAACATCACCCGTCGCCGCCACCGGCGCCCTGCCTCCGCCTCCGCCTCCGCCGCCGCTGTGCTGCAGGAAATTGGACGGAAACCTACCCGTCAGGGTTTCGAGGATGAGGATGCCGAGGCTCCACACGTCGGTCTTCTTGGTGATGCGGCCGCTGCTCTTGTACTCCGGCGACTTGTAGGAGATCATGTGCTCCTGAGCGTGCTCCTGGTTCACCACCGGCACTAGCCCGTAGTCCGCCAGCAACGGCGTGTAGGACCCGTCCAGGAGCACGTTCGACGATTTCAAGTGGCCGTGTGGGGCCGTCAGGCTCGGAAGCTCGTTGTAGAGGTACATTAGCCCTCTCGCCACTCCCTTCACTATTTTTAACCGTGTCGGCCAGTCTGGACACCGGACGACTCTGCGATCTATTGCCTGCCATGTGGCCGATAGATACAGCAGTTGCGGAGTCAGGATTTTATAACCCAGAATATATCCATATCTAGTTCATTAATTTTTCAAAACAGAACCTTGAGAGATGGTCCCTTATCTAGTATTCATCCAGGAATATATATATATATATATATATATATATATATATATATATATATATATATATATATATATACATCCCGTGAAGATGAACGGCGAGGCTGACTTTCTCGGCATAGTCGGTGACCAAAAGCTTCTCTTCTTTCCGGTAATAAAACCCGACAATCGGAAGCACGTTCGGGTGGCTCAGCCTCCCCAGCCGTCTCATATGCTCATGAAACTCCCCTTTATCCACATTGTTCATGTGCCTAAACCTCTTCACCACCATCACCTGACCTTTGTTTAACGCCGCCTTGTACGTGGACCCGAACACGCCGCTGCCGAGGATCTCCGCGGACGCCTTGAGCAAGTCCGTCATGTCGAACCTGACCCTATCCTCTTTCAGGAACGTGATCTTCACGCTCGGTTCCGACGACTTCTTGCCGCCCCCGCCGCCGTGATGGTGGAGTTTCTCCGGTGAGGACGAGCCGGAGCCCGGAACAGAGGATAGTTGGCCTGTTTCCATGTTGTCCAGGTCTGGTCTTTTCTGGTGGCCGTAGGCGGCGGCTGCCGCCTCCGGCGGCTGGGGGATCTGCTTGCGGCGGCGGAGGATGAAGACTACTAGTATGAGTGCTGAAGAAGCCGCCGCCACCAGGATTGAGACGATAATTATTGATCCGAGGGTGAGGTGCTGCTTGGGAGGGCATAGTGCCAGCGGGGCACCGCATAGTATTTTGTTGCCTGTTTACCAGACTATCATGTGAGAGAGAGAGAGAGAGAGAGAGAGAGAGAGAGAGAGAGAGAGAGAGAGAGAGAGAGAGAGAGAGAGAGAGAGAGAGAGAGAGAGAGAGAGAGAGAGAGAGAGAGAACTAACCGTCAAAAGAAGAAGCAGGGAAATTACTGAGAGAGAGGGGAATCTCGCCGATGAGTTTGTTGTTGGAAACATTGAGAGTCCTAATCAAGCCGGCCGGAAACTGGGGAATCTCGCCTTCGAACTGATTGTTTTCCAGCATCAGCTCCTTCAGCTTCTTCAGCACAATCAAAGAAGCCGGAATCTGACCTGTGAATTGATTGTTGGCCAAATGAAGCTTCTTCAACGACTCCATCCCCGAGAAAGTACTCGGCGAAATCTCGCCGGAAAAAGCATTGTTCGAGAGATAAATCGATTTCATGTTGGTTAGTTTCGACAGATTCGGCAAAGACCCGTCGAATTTGTTGTTCATAAAGCTCATCGTCCTCAAATTGGGCAATTTCGCGAGCACGTCGACGTCAATTACCCCCTCCAGCTCTAAATTCTGAAGCTGGAGCCCCCAAACAGTTCCATTCTCGCAGAAAATCCCCACCCAATTCTCCTGGTCGCCGTTGCACGGCGGCGAGCCGCCCTGCACCCAGCTGGAGAGTGCGTCGGCGTTGTCGAGGGAGTTTTTGAAGGCGATCAGGATGTCCGCCTCCGGCTCGACGGAGGAGGCCGCCGTCGCCGCCGCGGCGAAATGTAGGAGGAAGATGACGAGAAGGACGATGCGTATCGGAGACATTTGATGTTGAAACGGGGGCCGCCCGCGCACTTTGCCGGTGGGGTGGCGCGCCCCTGTGGGGAGGGGGAAGTGTGGTGTGAACGAGAATGGGTGTTGTTGTTTTTCCAGGGGAGGCGGAAAACTGAATGCAGGAGAAAACAAAATGCAGGAGATTGTATTGGAGACGATGGAGGGAGATCTAATTAATTATTTAATTAATTAATTAATTAAAAACAAAAATAAAAAAAGAAAGAAACAAAAAGAAAAAGAAAAGACTATTCTCCTATCTATATTTGTGTTAGGAGAGATATTATTTTGTGGTTTTTGCATGAGAAATGTACGCTACGCCTTTCAATACACTTCAAAAACTTGACTGCATATTAACTAGGGTAAATTACCATTAAGCGTAAGATCAAATTACGGAAAAGCCCCTTGTGTTCATGTAATTACAATCATCTCTCAACAGTTTGTACACATTCGAGCTCCACAGTTTGAAACAAAAATTTGAAACAAGATGATGATAAGATGTAAATCTCTTGGTTTGTAAATATCAAATTGTGGTGCATCAGAAACTGTATGTTTGCACAAAACGAATACAAACTTGAGAATATTCCGCGAAATTTAAAAGATTGCATTGAATTTGATATGATAAGGGTACGGACGTAAATTTACCCTATATTTTTATTTAGACTTCCTCAAAGTTGACTTGTTGAATTTTTTTTTATTCTAGATCAAATATTGGGTTAAATTATATTATCACCCTTCCCTAAGATTAGGTATTGCATACAGACCACCTTAGAATAGCAAAACAAACAAATAGCAATAATGTAGACTGCAAATGAAACCATAATTTTCACAGGCTAAAGCAACGGTTATACAGACATACAAAACATAAACATGATATTCAAACTATCTGATCTTTTTTACTTTTTTTTTTGAGTTGTATAAGGTGAGACAATTTCTAGAAGGATTAAAAGTCAATTTTAGAGTTTAAAAAAATGAATAAAAATCAATGGATGAAGCAATTTTTTCTATCAAATTCGGCATATCCGACATCGACAAGGCAAAGACCGTCCGGAGGTGCTGGTGGAGCAGTGGCTCGCCGACATGTGGCATCTATCAGCTTTAGCAGTGCATCTTCGTCTGCACCTGCAGCTGCTTCTCTAATTGCTGTTGCTACAAGAACTCGAACCATCTGCAAACCACAATAGGCAACCACAAAACGGTCAAATCGGGAAAAAGACCAAGTTATTTTTCTTTTCTTTTTTATTATTATTATTTTCTCTTTCTGTTTATGAGAGAAGTGGCTACCTTCCGCAAGAAGCGATTGGCGACCAACTCAATGCACATTATCTTCGAGCGAGTTCCCTCCTTTCATACAGGGAAACATTATTCAAACAAAATCAGAATCAAAAAAATAAACATGTAAGTTGGTGTAAGTGAAGGCACGTGATCATGATTAGGTCTATAAAGCATGCACGGGCGCACAATTTGGATTCAAAAAATAGTAGATTACACAGGTGTCTAATCTTCGAGTGATTTGATTTTTTCACCACCCCAAGAAAATAATTTAGCGAGTTCTATGCGTAGAAATATTTATGAGCCAAACAAGTATTACTACTTGCCACTGTCAAGTATCGACCCAATCCTCAAATATCCCGTTTCTTGTTCCTATGAAGTCTCTGGCTTTTGCCCTGCCTAATATCGAACCAACATCTCTGTAACTGCTTAAACACTCCAAATATTTATAAACGTTTATTCAGGTTATTTCACATTTTCACATGCTACTATCAACTACGTGACATGATCGTTAACATAGCTAAACGAATTCAAGTATTTACAACCGAACAAACCACATCTTTTACGAAAAGGAGAGAAACGATTTTACACGGCTAAATAGAAAAAGAAAAAAAGAAAAAAGCAAAAGTAAGATTTTGTATCATTTGCTAACCTTTGGACAGCGTATATAGGCCTCTGAAGCCCGTGAATGGAAGATAAAGCACTCTGTTGGTGGACCACTGCAATGTCGTAAAAAAATACGGATAGAATGTCAGTCCTTTGAAAAAAACCAACAATTGAAGAATCTAATTTTCAAGTTCATAGTTTTCAACTTATTACGGATATGCATATAGTGGTCAGTTCCTATTCACGACAACTGCTTGTTTCCTCTTCCAACAGGACAAAGGTAAAATAAATGAAAACGTGGATATGGCCTTCTTGGGTAAATGCATATTATATGTTAATGGAAGAAAAAGACAATTCTGCACGTGTCAACGTTCATATGAGGGCATACCCTATAGTAAATCAAAGCGCGTTTTTTAGATTGAAACATTAACCGATGCATTAGCAATGGCCACCAAAAAGCCAAGATATTTGTAAAACTAAATGACAAGTGACGAAAGACTGGCTGCAATAACTTCATATTGTGCTATACAAGGACCTGAGCCGGAGGAGCACAATGTCTAATCAGAAAATAATTGCGAGGAAATTTGATTAAAAAAATTAACAACATAAAATATTATTAGTCTTACATGTTTCTCGAGGCCTTAGTATCTCGTGCAAACATCCTAAAAGAAAGCAATTTTCCTTCCAGGTGATGTAATAGACGGTTAACACAGCTTACATCAAAACTGAGTGGTTTGTGTCCAGTTTGTGTTTCAGTCTGTTCATAATCGTCAATTTCATTTCCGCAATTCTCCACACCAGGGAGCTCACCGTATCGACCATCATGGCAAACATCACTATCCAGAACATTTTTCTCGCATTGACTGGCTTCATCATCCACGTTTTCGTCATCAAACGGAAATATGTACAAATAGCGTCTCCACTTTGCAGAGAAATTAGGGTGAAAGTCACGTGTGACCTTAAAACATATATATTATGTGCCCATCAGTATGTTATCGTAGCGTTCTGTAAGTTCTTGCGGTCATGTTCTTAAACATTTTCCATAAGTATAATTACAGAATAAAAAATCATGGCCATAATTTTCATAGCTCAAGTGATACCTGAGAAACAGAAATGGCTCTTATCTTTCCTGGAGCTACACCGTTTATTGCATCCTCGATGTCTACAGTTTTGATATCCTTTCTCCACGTATCTAACCATATAAAAAATCGGACGAGCAATTCAAATTATACACAACAGATAATGTCATTAAGTCTGAAATATATACGTATTATAAGTGATTTATTCAACCGGCAGTCCTGCATCCAGGACGGATCTCAGATAGAGGTTTTGTATTCTTTCTGTATACTGTAATTTCAGCCTTTACTGTTATAGAACAGACAAGCTTTTAAACATGCTTTAAACGGAACCCAATTTTCATTTCTCTTTTTTATTAGTTCGGCAGATGCCCTTTTGTCAGACTAAATAGACACATGAAGGTCTCCTGGGAAAGGAAATATTCTTAATATGAGTTGTGTGGTGACAAATTGACAAAGAAAGATGATTCTGAATAATTAAAAGAATGCATTTTTTTCCGAGGTAGACGAATATATAAGCATTACATATATTTACATAAGTTGTTTGTGAGTGAGTGATATGTATAGACAAATAGAGCCAGATTGAAATAACAAACATACAGAAAGAACAAAATTGTTCAAGAGCTGTCACCCCTTTGTCTGTGCGCCCAGCGACTGTAACACAACAATCTACTGGCAATTTCTTTTCTTTCAACATTTGTGCTTTATCTTCATCAACAAATTTTCCGAGAGATTTTTCAATCAACCTGTTCACAGCAAACATTTAAAGACGACAATTAAATTCAACATAGCTTGTGCATACATAACAGCTCATTCTTAAATCAACCTGTTTACCGATTGGTTTTTCACCAATCAGAAGGCATTTCAAAATATCAGGTAAAGATAAATGTCAGAACAAGTACTCATAAATATAGATCATTAGTTTATGTTTCACCATTAAAGTTATAAAAATTTAACGAAAAACTGGGAGAACGCTAACCCTTGAACAGTATTTAAACCAGGCTGTTTCTGCCACCCATCAAAAGAACTTCCGTGATACGAGAGCCGTATTTTGAATGTCACTCTTGCCCATCTTCCACTCCTATCCTTAGCTCGAACACTCATCAAATCAGGTTTATCACAATCTTCTATAGTTTCAGCACCATCGTGTACAGCATATGTCTGTGTAATATACAACTTTGATAAACAAAATGAAGAAATACTACGAAACAAACATTTAAGATTCTTGTAGTTCCAACAAGGTTCCTCGAAGAGGGTAAAGCTTTAATGCAACTGTTACAAAAATACGGAAGGAGAACGATCACCTAGAAAAGTAGCATGTACCGAGAATGGATCATTTGGCATGTTCAAAAAACTAGCAAAAACAGACTAGATCGCATATTTGAAGGAAAACATAACTCGAGTGCATATGTTAGGAATGACATAAGTCCCGTATCCTACTCGAATCTCCAATTATTTGCTTACATACACGAACGAGAAATTCACGATCGTCTAAAATTTTCAGTAGTTCTTCTCAACATCACATCTCTTGAAACAAAGATTAACAGTGAAACTTGAGTTAACATCAAAACTGTTGTAACTCTTACAAAAATGCGCACCTCTCTTTCGAACAATTCAGACACTGATCGACGACCGTTCACCACGTCCAGGTAAAAATCATTAACCTTTTGCCATGGCTTTTCATACATAAACTGATAGCTTTCCCTGTAACAATCAAACACCTCACATCATTGCAAAAAAAAGGGGGGGAAACAATTGAATCCAGATTCCATAAATTGGTATACGAAAACCTAAATTAGTCTATCCAGATTCCAGATGATACCAGCAGCCAATTAAAAGTTGAAATCCGAATCAAATCAAACTGAGTAAACACATACCGAAAATAGAATGAAAAAAATGTTGGAAGAAAGGAAAAATTGACTTACTTGGCGTTCCATCTGGAGAGGCTGCAAGCATCATTGTGTTGGTAGTGAATGTAACCCTTGGGAGGCGGAGGCGCGGAGTTTTCCATCAGGTTTCTCAGCCGCAGTCCAGCCGCCGCCGCCGCCGGCTGCTTTATCATCTATACCTTCCCGCTATTGCGAATAATAAATATTTGGGAAAATTAACAAAAAGTCCCTATTGAAAAAACTTATTTGGTAAAAGAAACAAAAAGAAAAATGTTCAATGCTAAAAGTCCATTTTTAGGGGGAAAACCGTAAAATACCAAAAAGTCCTAGGACTATCGTAGTATTGTACGAAATTGTCCAGCATAAATTTTAATTGATTTTAGTTAAAATAACTTTTTAGAATGATAAAATTACCTTCATTAAAATCTAATTATTAATAAAATATTATAATAACTCAATTCACTTGATAACTTGTTGTTAGAATAGTTCAACACTCCAAACTTACTGCATAAATGAAGTTCATGTTGTTTATTTTTAGTAAATTTTTCAATAGTTGAAAAGGTTTGAGTTTAACACGATTAAATATTTTGGGTTGAACTATTGTCTACTAAAATTTGGGATTCAAGGATGAGTCTGGTGGGACATTTGTCTTATCAAATCAAACGACCATGCATGTGGAAGGTGACATAACTTGTTACGAGCTCATTTTACCTACTGAAGATGATATGCTTCCTAGGTCGCTCCGTGGTTGCTCTGCATGTCCTAAACGAGCTCGTTGTTGGTTGGTGGACTTCTTTTCGGTCGACGTCACAATGCCGGCCGGCTTTTCACCCTTGTTTATGACATTGGGCCGAATGTAATCATATCCGCCGTTTAAGCATGTCCTGTGTTGGGCTATTTGGTATGCTTTAACAGTTGCAGTGGGTGAGACGACCTTGGCTTTGTGTATGACTTTAATTCAAAAGGATATTTGGACAATAGGGTCCATATCAACGGGGGTTTCAAATAAACAAATTTCATTTTAGTAAACGACATAATTTTTTAGTAATTATAATTACCTTTTTAAATTATTTAATAATTTTTCGGTACTTATGTAATCAACGATTCAATAAATGAGATGAAATTTGAGCATACTGAAATTCAGTACATTCCGTATAATTTTACCGAATAAGCACGCATAATTATAATTTATACATGAACCAATTCTAAACTTAATTACTTTTTTTCGACTACTGATTTAGTCCGTAGGTCTTCGTCTTCCTCAAGCCAGCTCCGTTCGTACTCCGGGTGAATAAACCTGCAACGCCGGGAGGGGTTCCCGGCGGGAAAGCTCCGACGATCAAGTCAGTGATCGGAAATAGAAAAATGTATATGCAATGTAATAGTGATTAGTGTAAAAAATCTCATCCCTTTGTGTGTGTGTTGATTCTCTTATTTATAGATGAGGAAAGCTTGGCCTCCAAGGCTTTCCTTTTTTAGGGTTTCTCTTTTCCCCCAAGTCATGTATCTTGGGCCTGTATTGTCCTGGGCTCGCCTTACCTCGTTTTGGTATTGGGCTAGCGAGTTAAGGTACTCCCAAGTAGTTCCGGGGTTCGCGCCATACGACGACTTCGCTCACGGTACCGAGCTAAGACATCATGGGTTCTTCATTATGGGCCTATCGTATTGGGCTTACTCTAGTGGGCTTATGTTTATTTATTAATTGTCAATCAAGCCCGTATCAACTACTCCCCCCTACTCCTTATTTATAAAACAAGTCGGCTTTTCTTTACCTCGTTTTATAAGTACGGAGTATGAGGCATCAGTTCGCACTTCGATTTAGGTTTACGTCGGCGTACGCAGACCCTCTTCCTTTCCCTTTCATTAATTACTCTGACACTCCGCATGGTCGGTTCAAGTTCCATAGGTCATCATGGAAAGATTTCCATCAACACTTTTCGCGCTAGGTTCGAGGTAATCTGCATTAAATCCTGTCCGTTCGGGTGGGCGGTTATGATTGGTATTTTCTCTTTCATAGGTCATTACTAGGGGAGTCCAACCGACACTCTTGCGCCGAATTCGAG